AATTGTACATTGAGAATCTGTTGATTTGATTATGACTAAAATTAATTGTTCATACCCAATGCCTGAACTTCCTAAAAAATCTCCCAGAAATATATTCATGTTTTTTTAGAAACTGTAGAAACCTCATTGTAGGGAATAATGTGTGGGTAATTTGTGAGGGTAATCTCATATTGATAGATCGTCAGTAATTATGACACGACACAGGACACTTTATTCTAGACTGTGCTTTATTATTGGGCTAAGCTGAGACGCATCATTCATTTAATATTACAAAAAAAGAGTTCAGGGGACCAGAGAATGGTGCAGTCTGGAGAGACGGGGGCGGGAGCCTAAAGCGCACTGCCCAATCAGAAGCTGAGCTCATCAGGGACCTGGCAAAGCTTAATATGCAACATTCATTTCCCCACCCTCCATATGTGCTGAAATTGGGAAATAGATTTCCAGAATACTTTGAAAACCATATGAAGTAAAATGAGATTCTAGCAACACTACTGAGCTTTAGAAATAAAACCACTGATAACGGCACTGAAACAAATGATAGTAACTCAATATTTCTTGATGAGATAGTGCAGTTTCCATTGAATTTTGCTCTTGGTAGAACACATCAGTTGAACAAGATCAGAGCTCTGTCAAGCAATACGAGGCAGGATGGGAAAAAATAGGGAAATAAAGTTCAAATCAAAACTGTTTATGTAATCAGTTAATCAGTGATCAGCTCCGTACATATTAGCAGCAACTTATAGTGACCTCAAGGCATATCTTCTGTTGTGATTACATATCTGATTGAACAGTTGGTGGTTTATGAGGGAATGTTTAACTAGGAATTGCCCCTTTTTCATTTTGTTTTAAAGGTTTCAAAATGGAAGAAAATGGTACTCAAAATGAAAGAGAAATCTTTCAATTGGCATCTTTTTTTTTGACAATCTTCCAACAAAACTAACCTTTTGAAAGAGAACAAAATGAGTTTATAATTACAAATATACATAAGGCTTTAGTATTGTACTGCATTGTTCTGAATAGTTTACCAGCAACAGGAGAATGTAAAATCAGTCTTTGAAGTTGTTGAACTCCGAGTTTGCCAATACTGGTAATGTGTGATGTAGTAGCACTTACAAGCAAACAGATCGGTAGCAATAATAGAGCTCAGATCTTGAATCAAACGGCACAAATAAATAAATAACAAACACAAATAAATAAATAAATAAATTAACACAAACATAAATGATTAAAATCTGTCTTTGACATCACTTGGTCAATAGGAGCATTTTTCTCCATCATCAAAGAAGTGCTGAAGGCATGGTCCTGCAGACAGGAACGATGATCATCTGTGGACCACAACAGTGGCCCATGCATGTCATATAAAAACTATTTGGTCACGTACCAACTCATAGAAAAATAATGCCATGAAAGCATGCATATTAGCTCAGACATGACTTATAAATAAATATCTAAACAAATAGATAAATGAATAGAACCCATCAAAGTATTATTTTTTTTAATAAAATAGGTCAATGTGTGTCTAAGCTCTAACTGAGGTCAATGCTCTCCCTGACTGTATTCTGGATAAATGCCTTGGTCAGGTCCTACAGTTTGTACCGTATCCTAGCGACTTTTTTTTTTTTTTTTTTTGTACCTGGTTTTTATTGAGCATTATCATGTTTTCATTCATATATTTTTTTTTAAAGTATTTAAAGTACTTTATCCAGTCCTTGTAGATAGAAGTAAAAGTCCTATAAAATATGCAAACCTATGTACAGAGGAAAACAGAGCAAAAAAAGAAACAATTTACAGTATATTCATCGGTTTATGTATATATTTATATATATATATTTATATTCAAACTTCTGCTCTGTTTCTTGTTGTTTTTGAACCACTATACTTTGTTTTACTTTTCTCATGTAAACTTGCAGCTTAAAGTTGGAGCAAATAAAGAAGAGGTGCTTGGCACTCTAGTTCCCTTTGTTCTGCTTCCCTTTTCCTTATTTCTCTCGACATTAAAACATGGGCTAGGTGAAAGACATGAGTGATTGCTCAAACAAACCATTAGAAAAGCACAGACCGTGTTGACACCTTTTTCAAAATTCTCAGAGCAGGCAGTCAAAGAGGGCACACAGTGTGGCGATCAGGGATACCAGACACATGACATTTAGCTTCAGATGTTATTGTTAGCTCAAAGACAGCTCAGGTGGGTGTACAAGACACTTTGTTCTAGCCAACCACGGATACTGCCAGAGCACGGTGGTCATCTGGTTTGCACTGTACGCCATGCTCAGGGCATTGTTATGTGGCACACACACAAACACTGGTGTCCTGGGATGTGTAGTGGCGTCTTTTAGCCTCACTGGATTTGGAAGGTAAATGTTAAATTATTCAATCTGCTAAAAAGGTTAGACACAGACACAAGGGAAACAGCATAATGAGCAGTTTATAGGAAAAACTAGTAACAGCACCCAACAGGAAGCATTGTCTTCCAAAGTGTCATATAGCCTTATAAATATTCATATACATAAATATTCATTGAGTAATCTCCACTAGCTGAATATGTGTTGAATGCAGGATCCAATAAATCCAAGTCTGTTGACCTTTTGCAGGTATATAGTAGGTGTTCATACCATTTTTGTAGACTATTATGAGAAACTGTATGCTAAAGCAATATGAAACCAGCCTCAGTGACACAGCAGGTGTAATGGGTAAATGGCTTTTCACACTTATTGCTTCATTTTACAGTTTCATTATGCTTTTTATGTTTATATTTAATTGTATGAGAACGTAGAACGTAAGGCAATATAACATCTTCTAAAGGATATGCTTCATGTCAAGTATTACCAGCAGAGATCCACACATTAACTGCTGGATGGGAAAGAACATAAAACCTCCCTTATTCTATTCAGTGGGAAGCCAGCTCTAACTGTAACAGCGTTCATCAACGTTAAAACACCATCATAACCATTACGATCTAATGTCTGGTCCAGTAAGCTCAATCACTTCTCTTATCAAGCCATGTCATATCAGTCGTAACCCTGAACTTTACCCTAGTTTTGACTCCAACCAGTGGAACGTAGTCACAGGTACCCTGCACACAGCTTTGATAGTTAGTACCTGTGCCAACAGGTTACCTAATGCCCACTTTTATCTGAAGTGTAATCGCATGAGTCTACATTACTTCTAAATGATTTTTTTTTTCAAAGACATTGATGGACCAACAGTGGTCGGACGGTTTGTTATATTGGACATGCACTGAAGCTCTCTACACAGCTGAGAAATGATATGGATCTGGCTGTAGTTTTGACATCATAATAGCGCGCTGGCTGCTTGCAGTAGTGTGTGTTTCGTTTTTTTTTTTTCTTCTTTGTTTTCTGAGAGCACAGTGCTTGATGGCAGATTCTGCAGGTGACAAGGCACACCTTGACATGGTGACAGCCCATACGCTACATGCACTTTACTGAATGCAAAAGAGAGCAAGGGTTGTGAGATGTATTCATTTTGGTTCAAGTTTCAAAGAGAAGTTTGTGTGTGTGTGTGCATGTGTAAGCTCAAACGATATGTTTGGAATAGAGTCGAAGATAATTGTCCTTTTCCTCTAAAATCATTTAGCCTGATTCTCTTAAAGCCTGCTACTGAGATGTGGCTTTTTGCATTTTCAGATAATATTTACACCATATGTGTACTCTCACACATGTATCTTTTAGCAATATATTGTGTGTCAGCATATAGTTAATCAGAGATAGGAATGCCTGCAGTTTTGGGAGCTGCCAGATTTGCGATTCTTCCCAAGCAGAGCAATGTTTCAAACTCCAGCTAAAATCTACAAAAAATTACAGCTCAACATAGTCAGTAGCCGTTCTATATACAGACACACATATATAAAATATGTGCATATAAATACATATATTTGTTTGTGATTAATATCTATTTATCCATATATACTGTATATATGAATACATTTGCTTGAATGCTTGTTATACATATATATGTACTGCAAATATAAACAAGTTCATATATTTCAAACGTTTCTGATGTTATTCTATCTATGAGGTTAGGATGTCAAGTTAAAAAAGATAAGGCTGTGATACGGAGCAGCCCCTCCCATGCACTCTCCATCCCTCCCAAGACAAAATGAGAAGAGAAAAAAATAAACATTTTGAGTAATTGTAAACTAGCGAAGTGAGAGACCCCATTTGGTCATCTGAAATAGTTTTGCCTGTATTCAAAAAGCATATCAGCAATATATATGTATATATACATGTGTTGTATATATTCGAAATGTACACTTCTTTTAAGTGCAACTCCTCAACCAGTTAGCACTGACTGAAAGAGATGCAGTGGTCCGAGTATATTTGAGCTACAAGTCCTCAGCAATAAAAATGTTTGGTCTTTTGGTCCCTAAAACAACTAAGGAATGACAGGTAAGACTCCCTGGAGACCGTTGCTATGGCTCTCCTTGGCAACGGTATCCCCTGGAAACGGACAGGCACTCCGAGCTAAAGATGGCCATCCCAAATCGAAGCCAATTTGTGTCCTGAAAATATCACATTCCCTACTTAAGTTCTCTCTCCGAGAATTTCTTGTCCCTTCTTGTTTCAAGTCTTATAAATTGGTCTTCAAAAGTCAATTGCCCCAAACTCAAACCATCTTACAGAAAGATCTCCTACGGCAATCCTCTATTCAGTTTTTAAAAAGTTTTGTTCTTGTTGGACTTTTGACATCCGTATTCCCTTTAAGAGTTCAGTGGGGTTGGTCATTGTAAGTAGGTTTGATATAGTTTCTTTTACCTTTTTTCCTCATTGTTCAAGTAAAAGTTTTTTTGTGGTCCAGAAAAGGTAGCTGTCATTCAAGCAGGGTTTTATGGGGAAAGAGGTGTGTATATGTGTGCAGAAGAAAAAGGTCCTGGGGCTAACCAGGCTGGTACAAATTCTCTCTGAGTTCCAAAGTTTTAGTACATCCAAAAGGAGGTGTCCTTGACTCTGTCATCGCTCTCTCTCTCTCCTCTGTTTCTGAAGCAGCCTTAGTGGTCCAGATGTTGAGTTTGCACTCAGTGGCGGGTAGCAAGAAGTCAACATATGATTCAGCTCAACAAAACCTGAAAAGCAAAGAAGAAATAGACAGACTTTGGTTATAAGTAAATTGTTTTGACAGCTACTGAATGAATGGCCATTTGGTACAGACATTTATGTTCCCCTCATAATTAATAACAACGTTCTGTAAAACGTTTAATTGTCCAATGTTCGTTTTATACGGTTTTACAACCAGATACCTACAAAAAATAACATCCCCATCAGTCTCAGCTGTACTTTGTGTTTACGTAATTTTGGCAGTTGTGTGTTTGAGGGAGCTGAAAGTATCCAAAAAATGTTTTGCTTAAATTGTTGTCTAGTTTTGTTTTGTTTATTGGTTTATTTACTTGGATCTATTAGACAATTCAAAGAGACAGCTAGTCCCTCTGGGCTTAAACAAACATTTATTACATAAGAGACAACGTTGGAACATTACACTAGAAATCTAAAGAAAAGTTAATTGGGAAAATATTTGTTTTAAAGTTTGATTTGATTTTTTTTTTTTACACTTTTGTAGTGTTAAAGGATGCCATGATTTCATTCCTTATGGCTCTTCCTTGTACTGTTGATACTCGCTGTATTTACATGCAGATGGAGCCGTGGAACATATTGACAGGACACCTGCCTCTCTAAAGCATCTTCGACGGCACTAAGACTCTAAGTTCTGGTATGGATAAACAAAGATAATTTTGCTGAGACAGTTTTGAAAACAAATCAGTGCTCATCCTGCAGTGAATTAATTTAGCTCCCTGGCAGTGATGCTGTGGTAATCTCCTATGTGATAAACAATTAAGTTTTGTTTTTATATTTAAATCAAACTGTTTAATCCTGTTTTTGAAATGATGAAGGGATTCTAATCAAGATACACCTTAACCCTCATGTGTCATTAGAAGTTAAGTAGCACTCTGAATATGGACTAATCAGTCTGATTATCTGTACCATAATAGTGCATTAATATTTTATCTGGGAATAATAATACTAAAACTGGGAATGTGAGTGAAAAATGGCACTATGCTTGTTTATCAGTTAAAATTTCAAAGACTGCAATAACTGCCAATCTCAGGGGAAAACAAAGGAAATCAAAAAGAGATGTTTTCTCTGGAATTCTGTTGACAGTGTTTTTATATATCAAAAGAAATGGCGCCACATATTTTGTGACACATTCATATGAGATTGCACTATTCTTCCCGCAGTGATTTGCCTCGGGACACCGTCTGGTATGGTTCAGTTAGTTTGTGAGTGGGTGATAAGTTGCCCTTGAATGAAGTCATCAGTGGTGAATGAACGACACAGCCTAAACTCTCCATCACACAGATGAAGGGAGGAGACAAAGAGGAACAGCACAATTACCCGCCTGAGGGGTAATAAATGCCTCTCCCTTGGAAGCAATTCCTCCCCTGTGCAACACACTGAACCTTTTACCAATTATCTTTTACCTACAGGGTAACATACAGGGTCACTTACTGTAAAGCTGTTCTACAAATAAAGGAGGCTACATGTAAGTAAATGCTCCTACCCCTCAGTTTGTTTCAACCAGCCATAAAACCTGGCTATAATATTTATATCAGTGGCATGGTAGAGAGTATAGACTGTCAAAACATTGTGATAATAATAAAATAATATATTTGAAATGTTTTATTCTGAATGTACTGTCAGTCATCAAACTCTAGAGTTTACTGAGAGTGAGCCATAATGAATATTGGAATTAACATTTGCAAATGCGTACTTGAACTATCAACAAAGGGGTAAAACTTCATCACTATTCTTTACAAGCAATTTGCAGATGATCAGCTAGTTATTAGGCATCTGCAAATGTTTTATGACATTTATAAAAGGTTACTGAAATGACATCAGGCGGTGCCATAAACGGGCTGCCATTTGAGAATTTGTCAATATAATATGCAGTGGTTGTGCATGTACTGGTTCAGTTAATCACCTATCAAACTAAAGTAACAACAAATGTTTCCAGTCGAGGTCGAGGTCTGACCTGTCTTTCCCTGTGTGCGACGACTGCCCCGGCCGCCAGGGTGGCGGTGGCTGGCTGGGGCGGGGGCTAGTAGGGGCGGTTGGCATCCTTTGGCCTCTTCAGCTGCACCTTGAGTCTTTTCATGCCGATCTGGAAGCCGTTCATTGATTGGATGGCAGCTTGGGCACTACCTGGGTTGTCGAAGCTCACAAACCCTGGGGGAAAGGACAAAAGAGAGAGAGAAAGAGGGATGTGGTTAGATGAAGAGGCAAGGACAGTTTGGGGTTACAAAAGAATGGATAATGGAGATGAGTTCAATAAGGTGAAGCAGTCGTTTACACGTATGTATAATTAACACATTAACACATTACAGTCCTTTTATCTGTACATAAAAAATTGCACTACCAGCATTAATACTTACTTAAGCATTAACATGAGAAATACTACAATATAGCATGAGTATTATTAAAGCTAACATACAGTATGACAACAACAATAGATCACAATTATGTCACGCAACCAAAATCACAATATGAACTTGGTGATGGGATGTAAAACCAAAACATCAACATGGTTGTGCTTCTTTCTGAGTTTCGGTTTTTAACTTCCACTTGAAAGCGTTGAATCACAAATTAAAACCTGCATCTCAAAATTGCAACATGAATAATACAACATTAATGTTGTGTTGAATTAATGAGCAAAAGCTACTTTGCAAATAGGTTGCACCTGACGGACTCTCCATTAAATATTCTCCACAATTCATTTATAATTTGCCACATAATTATGCGTTCGGCTAAATTGTGCTGTCAGTGGGATACAGTGAGACAGCAGTTCTCTATCTTTGCATGCTAGAGCAACCATTACATTGTTAGCATGCATTGCTTTTGCTTACAGTAAATTAGAGACTGAGAGTCAGCGTTCGTATGAGCACAATGGCAATGTAGCTGAAAATATGGTATTTAAACACAACTAATTTCTGTCATGATCAGTTTGACTACTGACTTATATACATCACTGAAATATTTATCAAAATAAGGAATTAGTCAGAGCTTCAAAAGAAAACAGCTTTAATGATTAATACACACAATCATTCTCCATTCTTTCTTTTTAGTAACAACCAGCTTTTGCACAACTGTAGAGAAATTCTCCACTGTTTTGTTTTCAGTCTTTTAAGGGGAGGGGGTGTTGAGAGGTTAGGAAAGGGGGTGTTGACTGCGGTAAAGAAGGTGATTAGTAAAAAAGAATAATCAGAATAAATAACCAATAATTTTTTGGTTTGGTCATTTTTACCCACCAAAGCATTTACTTTGGTTTGTCGCCCGATCCACAAACACTTTGGAGGAGATGACATTACCGAAAGGCAGGAACATCTGCATCAGCTCTCCATCCCCAAACTCCTGAGGGAGGTGGTAGATGAACAGGTTGCAACCCTCTGGTCCTGCACACGGACACAGAGAGAGAGAAAGACACGGGGAGAGAATAGAGAAAAGAGATAAGGGGCAAAGGTCAGAGAAAGAGAGACAAGGCGAAAGAGAGAGGCATAAAAGGTTGACCGCGGTGGGAGCAGACAGTGATGACAGGAAGAAAATGCAAAATAATAGGAAAACAAGAAAATAATGAAGGCGTGGAGTGAAGGTGTTCTTAAACAGCCAGTCAACTTTTTACTGTGAGTTTTGGTCCTACATAAATGCCCATTTTTTTGCTAAAGTTAAAACATTTTCATGAGTTCTTCTTCTGATTTTAAGTAGCTGGAAAAATTTTGCTAAATCCGTGCATCATGCTTGGTGTATGATGCATGGATTTAGCAACATTTGAACCACATCAAACCACATTAAAGCTGAAACAGTTGGTCGATTAATTATGATTAGTCCATCAACAGAAAGTTCATCAGCAACTGTTTGATACTTAAAAGCCGTTTTTCAAGCAGAATTCCTCAGTCCCAGCTTCTCAGTAGTGAGATCTTCTGCTTTTCTTTGTATTAAATGAAAGTAAAGTGAGTATATTGTGGTTTTGGACTTACCTTTACAACACAAGATAATTTCCTCTCCTGTCCTTTTTGTGAAATAACTTTCACAAAAAACTTTTTGTTATGATCACTTTTTGTGATCATAACAAACATGTGCAACAAATGCATGAGCACGTAAGAACCCTGTAGTACTCCCAAATGTATCTGCAATTTGTGAACGACCATCATTTCACAGTGTTAATAAATGAATAGCTCAGTGTTAATAGCTAAGGTTGATTTTTTTTCCAATTTAATGTTAAATAGAAATAGTTTTGATTTGAAAGCAGCTTTTCAGGGGCTTTAAAATACTTTGTGCACTGACTTTTATTTTTATGTTGTGCTATACCTTGAAATCTATTTCCCTAATATTAATTCAACTGAAATCAAGTTTGGTATCAGCTGCAAAAAACAGACAAGTGCAGAGCCGTTTATCTCAGCATGCTGTCATTAGTTCACAGTAATTCTGGGGGCCTGAGTGGTTTGACAGTTTCAGCTGTACAGAAAAACTCACAGATTCAGCATTCACAGCTTTTAGGTTTCCCAAATTAAATAACTACTAAATCCTTAAATGGCAGCCTCTGGGACGCCACAACTGTTGAATGATTTATTTTCCACAAGAGGGCAGTAAGGTCCCAAGCATGGGTGTCCCAAATCTGGAGGTCACTGAGTTCATGAGTAGGTTTACGGCTCAGTCTGAAACAATCAGTAATGGTAGTAAAGTTAGTTCCCCTGTAGCCAGCAAATAACCAGACACTCTAAATATTATTTTTCATTTTGCTTTATTATTTAGTCTTAAACTTGTCTCCTCCTTGGACTGATTTAAAAGCATGAAAAATGAGAGTCTTCCCTAATCAATCCAGACTGATATTGTGCACCATACTCTGTGTTAGTGTGAGTATGCTGAAATGAATATTTTGCTTTGATGGAGGTGAAAACCAGGTGAAAGTGAAGACTGTGAATTGCCTGGATATTTTTAAACGTGGGTGTTTATTCCAGGACTGTATTGGCAAGCGGATTCAAGACGAACACAGGAGTAAATATGAGTAAATGTTTGCAGCGTGTATGAATATTTAGGGGTGAATGATGTGGCGCGCGTGTGTGTGTTACCTTCTCGTTGCTGCTGTGGAATGATGGGTGGAGGGTGGGGGAAGGCTTGGCTGATCTGGCCGTATGCAGCGGGATAGGCTGCTGAGACACACACACACACAGCACGGATCAGATAACAGTCATGACTAGAGAACACACACACACACACACACACTCGGATACATACAAACAATGTGATATATGCAGGAGCACAGCAGGCAATCGATCAGATAACAGACAATAGAGTCTACGTGTTGCACACACACACTGAACACAGCAGAGAGAATACATTGGTGTAGTAAGACTGAAACACTTAAAGTTACATGATCAAAATTCTAATTCATACAAAGGAATATTTTCCCTCTGTTGTCCCCCTTTCTTTCCATCTCTTTTCTCTCTCTCTCTCTCTCTCACACACACACACAGATCAGTGCTGCTGTGAGAGTGACAGACAGACCTGCATACTGCTGGACTCCTGTGTAAGCCTGCTGGAGAGGATCAGCTGCAGTGGGACTTTGAGCTGCTCCACCAGAGACACAGAGAGAAGAAGAAGAAGAAGAAGAAGGAGGTGGTGAAGGGGGAGCATGGATGGATAGAGGTGTGTGTGTGTGTGTAGGGGGAGAGAGACGGTGGGAGAATGTAGATGGAGGAGAGGGCATGGAGGAAGGCGAGAGTAATATATAACAAGGGTATAACAAGGGTGAGGGAGGAGGGATGGAAGGAGAGGCGATGGAGAGAAGAACAGACAGGAGAAGAAAAGCAGAAAGGTTAGAGAGCCGAACAGCGAGGTGTCAACTCGCTCCGCTTTCAGTGTGTGAGGAACTGAATTCTGAATCTCTCCCTCTTTTGCTGGGCGTTTTACTTTATTTTCCTACTAAAACATATCAAAAGCAGCTCTTTTTTTCCACCCAGAAAAGCAGAAAAATTAAACTTTGAAGGACCACGGTTAAAACAAACAAACAAACAACAAAAAATAACAATACAAGGCTCCACTGTCACCACAGGAAAGGAAAGAAATGTGTCATAAACCTATTATACCTATAATAAACAAATCTTATGAAGAAATATATACATTTTCCTAACAATCTACTCTAGGTACACATGTAAAACAGGACGATTACAATACACACAGAACACTGGATGCACCTGTTGCTATCACTTCACATGTAGGAGACACAGTAAATTATTTAAAATGGAAATGTGAAAAATGTCCCCCAGTTTAATCACACTTGTAACTACCACAGATGCTGTGCCACACTTCATAACTACCCATCTGTACACAAAGTGCATGCACATTAAGTACACCACTGAGAAAACACACACACACACACAAACCAATAACCCCACTATCACCAAAAAACCAAAGAAATACTGAACACACCGTGGACTAACAGCAACACTGAAAAACGGTTCGAATAGCCAGAAGAAAGGTGAGTATGTATGGGCTTAAATACAGGTCAATACATTATAGGTTTGTAAAATAATGTTCAAAAATAATTCTACAGCCTGTGGTTGTATTTGTTCCTTTGTAAGAGGAAAACTGAAAAACTTAATCCGTGTATGTATTGAAAAGTTATTTTGTTGTAGAAAAAGATTTGTGGATGTTTAAATAAAGTTTGTGGACAAATTAAACCAACAGTGAGGTCACGCAAAGATTTAAAGACAAAAGAACTCCTTCTGTCAACATTAAGTACAGATTCATAAGAAAACTGTGAAAATCAACAAAATTGAAGTCACATTTGAATCAGTCAGTACAAATTTTTGGCCCAGCTTTTAAGAGTGTGACACAGATTTCTGCTATAAAAACTACAAATCTTTAATCTTTCTCATGCAGTTCACAGATTTACAAAATCACAGGCTTTGAAATGACTTCTGAACATTATTTCACAAGCTCCGATCATACTGACCCTTATTTGAGCCAATAGGGCAGTGGGATAAGGGGAAGAAAGGAATGGGTAGGGGGGCGCTACCTTCAGAGAGAGAAGAGAGGAAGCAGCCACCCTGAACCCCAAAACAACTCCGCGGAGCCACGCCCAAGCCGTTTTTCTCCGAGTCCTCCCTAAAAACCACCTCCTGCAACACTGGAGAGACAAGAGTATAAAAGAAAAAGACAGATTTTTCTCCACCTCTTCACAGACAAAAACCAATGAGGTACTAGCCACGGCTCATGACACAAGCGCATACTTAGGCCCCAGCAGCCCATAAGCACCTTTGCCAAACACTCATCTCCTCGACATGCTGACTGTCTGTGGGCTCCGTTCATCTGGCCTTGGCCTCCTGAACATGCTTCAAGGCTATTCACGCCTGTAAGCCAGCAGCATGCACACTTTCCCATTACAGTGAATGTGTTTACTGCGTAGTGTGTCTATAAGGGTTTAAGCTTAATTTTCAAGAAGTCATGGTTTAACATAACAAACAGTGTTTTCATAATGTAAAGTGCATTTTCTTTCATATTCGTCTGTATCTCCGAGTTATTTTGTGTTTATGCGTACGTGCTGGCAGAATTTATCAGACTTACCAGGGTAATGGTGTATCCCGTTGGCGAAGACAGCCTCTGCAGGAGGCTGCCCATTTGCCTGGGGGGGCGGCATGCCAGTAAAACCATTTACACTAATGGGGGAGGGAATGCTGGTCACTGTGGGGGCGCTGATGCCTGGAGGAGTACTGCCACCTGCAGCCATAGCGTAGACGGGCAAAGACAGAGAGAAACAGTAAGCATTCCACTGTATTTTTTTCTCAGACATTATGGAGAAGTTTTGCTTTGAATGGCCACCTAGTAACTCCTGGAAATGTCAGAGGGGCCGGTCCAGTGGGCCAGTGAAGACACTAAATGTCAGGGCTGATTTCTTGTCCCAGTATGGCCCTTATTGTGACACAACAGCCATTAGATCGGAATCTTGGACATATTGTATAAGACTAATGCATACCTTGTTGATGATATCTTATGGGTATTAATTATATGTTTGTTTCAGATGTTTTCATGTTATGCCATGATGCATTATTTTCATTTGCACCCCTTCAAAGCATATAAAAAAATATACAGTATTGATTCTTTTTGGAAATGTGGCAATTTAAAATCCAGTGTACTTTGTTCCTTGCTACTGTATTTATTCACTGCAGTAAGAAAGGAACATACTGTTTTGATTCATGCCTGAGATTTAGAAGCCATGGATTTTAATTAAGTGAGTAAAAAAATATTTTCTTCACAGAAACACGTACAATACATTATGTTGTGGGGGTATGTTGACATTTGTAAATTTGAAGTGGCACAATATGTGCTATCAGATAAGCAGTTAAACAGCTTTGCCACTTTGTAGTGAATGGGTCTACCACATTTTATTTGAAATTCAAACTATTGTTTGAATGTGGGAGAAAATTAAATATTTGATTGATAATGATCTGCTCAAATTCAAAATGTATAAGCACTATACCCCACTGGAGGCCATTCGTAAAATGCAGTGTCACTGATCCACTGCATGCACTGTTGCCCTCAGTGAGAAAGGCTATTGTTGTTCTCTTCACTAATGCAAAATTGAGAAAAACTAGTGAGCTGTGCTCAATGGATCATGACACCAAACTATTTGAGAAGAAATGTGAGGAAGCAGTTTGGATTTGATACCATAAATGGACAAATCATGGTTAAAAGTATGCAGCTACTTTACAGTAACGCCAGTTTGATACTGTCAGTTCTACAGTGTAGTTTAGGCTATGTGGATTGCATTCCAATAAATCTGAACAAATTACTCTTTGCTTCAGTGAGGAAGGGTCGATAATCTACTGTATGTGTGCATAGATTCCATTTCCACAGCAGACGGAAATACCTATAAATCCAGTATTGTCCTTTAACCTTTGCTTTTCTTTGCTTTTGTTACCTGACGTTGGGGTCATCGGTGCTCCCGGGAGGCCATTGATGGTGGCCATGTGCTGCATCTGGGCAGCAGCAAAGGCCGCCATTGGACTGAGGTAGCCTCCCTGGCCTACAGACGCCATCAATGCCGCCTGCTGCTGCACCTGCACAGTGGAGGAGGGGATTATATGAAGGGTCGAGAACAGTGCGGGTATAAATGGAAAATGAGGCACAGTATAGAAGCTGAAAACAGAGACTACTGGATAGAAACCAGGTATTGAATCTTATAAAAANNNNTATTCCTAATTGGAGGGAGCTCATCTTTTTTGCTACTTCAGATTCATATGTGAGCTAGGCTTGAGCACTCTGTTTAATCTGTGGTTCATTGAATAAATAACTGTGGATAAAAAAAGGCGTTTTGCGGGGCGTCTTGCCTGAGCGTAGGCTCCGTAGGCTCCAAACTGCAGGGCCATGGGGTTGAAAATTCCCATCTGACCAGCCATCTGCTGCATGCGGCGGATGGTGCGCTCCTTATCCGTGTCGGCGAACTTCACCACCAGACTGGATGAGGCACCCTGTGCACCCACCCATCCACCCACCCACACACACACAAGCGCGCCAGGCAGTACATGTTAGTGTGTACCGACATATGACATAAGCTTGTATCTGCACTTGCACAAATCCTCTCCTGCCAAGGCAATGGCCTCAGAGCCGTAGTTGGCTGCCTATGGCCTTGAAATAGTTGGATCATACGCAAAGGATACATTTACTTCTTGGGATTAATAAAGTATAACTTAACTAAACTTTAAGAAGGTAATTAAGTGCTATGTGACTCATCTCTCTATGTGACTCACCTCTCACATAAATCTACATGCTCACACACACAGTTAAGGTGTACTCACAGGCATTGTCTGGCTGCCGTGTAGTGCACTGATGGCTGCCTGAGCTTCAGCATGAGAGGAATATTTTACAAATGCACAGCCTAAAGAGAGAGAGAGAGGGGAAGAGGAGAACATGAGTAAGAAGAAAAAGAGACAGTGAGAACAAAAGAGAAAAGTTTGCTGTAGAGTATATCATACACTATCACAGCAAAACATGGCCAGTAACAAGACAAAAAGTTAAAAGTTTCCTGTTTTTTTCACCCCGGGATAAATTTCCTACAGCATTACAGCAACAAACATTTAGTAAGCAAAGCCCTCTCTACTGAGGAGGTTCGCATCAGTGTTGATCAACGCTCAATAAGCGGGCTAAACATGCCACTCTGACACCATTAACAACTTTGGGATCCTCTGATGGGGCTTAAAATGCCACAGCATTCTGGTGTCGCTTACTATTGACAAGCCCCGTTGATGAATTTGAATGATCAAGTTCCCAGTAATTATTGAGCTAAAGCCCACTTAGCCGAGTAAGCTGGCTGATGAGGCCTTGTTAATGGAGCTTCACGGAGGAATCAGAATGATCAAGCCCACTGTAATCATCAGGCTTAGTTATCATCGGGCCTCATTGATTGGCTGCTAAGCCCACTGATGAACTTCATGCAGTGAACTTGTGTAGCACTCTGACAACATTTTGAAAGGACATTTTTCTGGCGTGACATGAAGCCTGGTGGTTAATAAGAAGGTTGACTTGTTTTTTTTTTCTTTATCAGAGCCATGTAGGTTGACTCATAAGGTTAATGGGGTTCATCTGTAAAGAATTGGTGGTTTATATCTCTCATTCCTGTGGGCAAAGCTTTCAAATGGCATTTACTGATGTTGAAATTTACAGAACTTACAGTATTTTTATGTAACCACTCCTCTGATGATTGTGAAATAGCCCGCTTTGACATCACTCAACTTAAGTAACTTTGCAAAGTCACCAACTTTGAAAGGCCAAATCATTTCTGTGCAGTAGCCTGTGAAAAAGTCTGCTGGCTCAAAGTCATAAACAGCTATAAACTCACCTTTGCTGTTTCCGTCGGGACCTCTGAGGATGGTGCATTCCTCGATGCTGCCGAAGGACTCGAAAAGGCGCCGCACATCATCTTCTGACTGTTGCTTGTTGAGCATACCGACAAAGAGCTTTCTGTCTTCTAAAAGGAAAAGGAACAGGTCACAATCAGAGGATCAGAGACGCCTTTTGATAATCTACATAAAGACATGCTATGTTCACTGAAATAGCAGCGTTTTTGCTTGTCCTTGCATGCAAAAAACATTTCTTGATGACACTGTATATTATCTAAGATGACATATGTCCACCCATTTATTCCTGTTACAAACTCATCTTTAGATATCAGTTGGGTTAGAATATAGCTGGAGCTATCAGGTTGAAGCTATTTGCTTAACCACAAATTCTTGTTAAGTATGATTTTTCTTAATGTAGGTGCTCAGCCACATTTGGAAAGCATCAGCAATTCAATAACAATAGAATAACAATTAAAATGTACAAAACAAGTCACTGACAGATTCCAACTGAAAGATTTTTAAATTTATTAACTTAAGTAACAAATTTCAGTGACACGAACATGTCTGTTGTACAAATTTGTCCAGGCACAGCATGTTTTTCCTGGTATATATTTTACTTTCAATAAGTAACAGAGCAGTTTTTGAAAATCTCCATTTATAATAATATCTCCCACCCATGTTTCCATTACAAACTTGTAGTGGAAGATGAACTCATGATCACAGGAATAAAAATCCTTTTTCTGTGCAGTCTGTCCTATGGGAACACACTTGGCGCCGTGCCCTAAGCGCGAACTCTGTTCACAGATGCAACACAATGCTTCCTCACACCATATTTAGTACTGCTTGCTCGACCTATGTCTGCGGTAAATGTGTGTTTATAACCACGTGCCTAATCCCTCTGTGACAAAAAATATTGTTATTGGCTAATATTTCACTTAGAGTCAGACTGAGCTTCCAACCAGTTTGGTTTACAGTAGTAGCTCAAAAGTTTAGATAAGAGGCTAATATGATACTCTTCATGAGAGAGCAGTGAGTGAATGTTGTGGTTATCCAGTGATTCCATCTGTAGCATCTTACTCCATAACGTCTGAACTGCTTGCCTGTAATAATGTCTCGCCAAAAACTGGCAGTGTAAAACAGTCGTCTTTCTGTTTCAGGCACATCTTTACTGTCGTAAGTAGGAGTTTGTTTTGTGTTAAACTGTACACAGGAACTTATTTATTTATGGAAGACAGTCACACTCATAGTTTTAACACTACACCAAGCTTTTTGCACAATATCACGTTTTGCATTTCTCCCTTTTTCCTCCCTATTTACAGGGGACAGTTGCCTTCTCACTGTCCTTGTCACTGCTAACTCCACTGTCAGCTTGGAAAGACTATAGCTAGCTACATGGCTCCTCTGATACATATGGATAAAATGAAGTGGCTGGCAACACGCCAACCACTTCCTTTTATCCATCAGCAACAAAACCTATTTGTGGACACTTGGGGAGTTTGTGCCTGACCAGCTAGAGGGACTCACTAATGCATCAGCAAGGTCATGATCCCTCACTGGATTCACACCCTCATCTGTGATGATTGGTGCCTTGTCCCCAGAGCACAATATACACAGCTTGAGCTCTCTGTATTTGAGAGTTCACAACATGTTGTAGTAGAGGGGTAGTGATACTATGCTATGTCTGAACACAACACCTACACACAGGTATTAAACAAGGCAGATGCATTTGTGTGCTGTCCTCACTCAGGACATGATTAAAATTTTATGAAATCTAAGTTAAGTTCATTCCAGGGGGCTCTGTTTACTTGTAACAACACATTTGGTTGTTGTTGTTGTTATCTTTATTAAGTATGCTTCACAGAAAGGATATCACTGCCTGTTGCACAATAATGAGGCAGCACGTTAAATAGTGAAACCGATAAATTAGATAAAAATAAATATAATACAAGTAATATGCATAAGTCAAAGGTTATGTTGAATCCAGCAGACAACTACACGAATTTGGGGTTGAATGGGAGGCTAGCCAGTGATTACATTCAAAGCTGTGCAGGCATTTCTCCCAACATGGCAAATGGACAGCAATAATAACTACTTTCAAAATAAAATGTCCACTATACATCCGATGAAACATTAAGAAAGTAATTGTTCATATTATCAAGTCACAAAGCACCAATTTAATACTTTTGTAGGCCTATTTCTCATTTATGACCACATAGCATAGCAACCAGTCACATAGCAACTGCTGTCCTCTTCTATCTTGAACTTTAAATTGGCATTTCAGAACATTTAATAAAAAAGTCTCTGTGGACCAAAAGCAACACATAACCTAAATCAAATTAGTCTTTTCCAAAATTTTCTACAAACAAACTTTTATGCCGTCAAAAAGAATTGCAGGACTATATAATCAGATAGAACTTCAACATGGGTTTTAATGAGATAGAGCTAGACTGAGGTCCAGCATCAGTTTGTTATTCACCATGACAGCATGAATGAGTCACCGAATGAGTGTTTGAGGAAAATTGTGAGGCAGACGGTGAAAGTGTGTTAGTGCACAACAGTAACAGATGTGTTGGTGTGCAAGGCAGTCTGTTTTTACGTTACCCAGAATCAGAGCTTTGTGAAAATGGATGTATATGTTGGGAAATTAATGAGCCTCAGTGCAATTGCTTCTGAATGTGCACTACAAATTAATGTGTGTGTAGGTATGCTTACCTGTGTGTGTGTGTGTGTGTGTGTGTGTGTGTGTGTGTGTGCATGCATGCGTGCTTAGGGTCCGTTCCCCGCTGCCTGAGCCTGACAGGGTGTCCTTGCAGAGTCAACAAGACTAATCTGCGCTCTGGCCTTGCACTGGCGGGTAGGGGGGTGTTTACAAGAGTGGAGCGCACATCACAAGTGGAGGACACACACATATGCACATACACAAATCTTGGTGTTTGGCCCCCCACTTTCTATCACACACATATACATCCACGGTACACACCTCAATGGTGGACAAAGCCGTTCCCCAGGGAAGGCACCAATAAACATTACATCTTTCTTCGGGAAAGGACACACACTCACACACATGCAGGTACACTCATATTCAGCTAGAGAGCAAATCAATATACACCAGTGTCAACAACGATGTAAAGCTCTCTCTCTCTTTCTCACACACACGCACACACACACACACACATGCACAGAGACAGTCTATGACAGTGACTCCCCGATTTCCCTCTACTGTAATATCGAGTAGGCAGGAGTAATATATCATAAAAAAGTATTATGTAATTTCATTATTAACAGAGTATTCCTTTTCAGTTTTTTTAATATATGTATATGTAATATATATATATTTTTTTTTTCATTTTTGCTGCTTTATACTTCTATTCCACTTTATTTACAGTATCAGACACATGAAGTTATTATTTACTGTTAAGATTAAGATTTTATTTAGAAAACACACAATAAGCTTGTGATGTAAATGCATTGCTCAGGGAAACCAACAGCAACCAACCATTTTGGCTTGTGACTGCTTATTAAAAAAAAATAGTCTAGTTGGGGCACCTTGTCATGTTTCAGATGCCTACAAGTTATTAGCCGTTCCAACAAAGAGTGATTTTCTGTCTGAACTTCTGAGATGGTTTCATTTAAGTAACTGTTCGAGGCCCAAAGGGTCAAATTATCCATTATTTCACAGAGATTAGAGTCCACAATAACAATAATCGGTGTACCAGAACATTGTTTTTTCTTCTTTCCTACCCCATTAATCATCTCACAACCACCCAGATTTATTTTGTGACCCACAGAAGGGGCCTTTACCGTTAAGTTGGGAACCACTGGACTAAACTACCTAACTTTATATGACAGTTTTAAAAGTACCCCCAACTTCACAGCAGTAATATTCTGCTTACACTGATAATGTAATATATAATAATACAGATTATCAGTCAGGGGACATTTTTCTGATAATGAGTCCTTCAGTTTTGATACTTTATGTGCATTTTACTCATATTGCTTTGACATTCACATTAGTAGGATTTTAAATGCAGGATTTTGATCTGTAATAGCATTTTTTACAGCATTGTACTAGTACTTTTCCTTAAAGAAACAATCTGCTTCTTCTGCCATTGTGACTGAAAATGTAACACCCTGAGACAGTATATATGTAGCTTTGCATTCATGCCTGAGAAAAACGTCCGAGAGATATAGAAGTAAAAACAAATAGGCACAGCAATAATCTTGGAAAAATAGAATTGTTGAGAATAGATGAGGGGAATAGTAGCGGGCAGAGGACATCCATACAGAGAAAGACAGACACGAATAACAGAGAGAGCGGTATAGATGTCCTGCATTGCCCTCACTTTGCTTCCTCACGCTTGGCGCTTGCCTCTGTTCCCTCCTGCTCCATCAATCATACTCAGAGCACCACCAAACTAAATAGAAGAGGATGTCGCACAATCTCTCTTCTTTTCCTTAAAATTTTTTTTTCTTTACAGGCTAACACCTCTCTCTCAGTCCTTATGCTTCTCTCTGCTTATCAACCTTCAACTCCTTGCATGCTCTATTTCCTCTTTTTTTTTCCCTCTCTCTTTCCCTTTTTCTTGTGGCTGAAGAATCGCTCTGGTGCCAATTATATTAACAACTGCAAAGTTTGAAAGACTCCAGCCAAAACCGGTCAAACTGCATCAATCTTCTCTTGTACAGTCCATTGATTGATGTCAGGAGCAGGTCACTACATGTCTAGACATAGAAAATGCGCTTAAAGCTGTCTTAGCTGTCAATACAGTGCGACACACAAAATACCAGACTAGACATCCACTTTCATTTACACAGATCTGTCATTTGAATCTGGGGTTCATTTGGCAGATACAAACTTGTGACACGAGTCAAATAGGATTTGCTTTGTTGCAGACAGCGTTATTAAAGGTGTTTGACAAAAAGAAGTGACCTGTTTCCCCCTGAAGCAAGATATGCATGTTTCTGGGTAGGTACGCGCATGTACATGCATCAGTACATATGATGAAACTCCAAAAAAGGAGGCTGAAGGCCTCGGCAGCCAGGAAGAGCACTGTTTACATAATGTGTCCTGAATACTGCAGGGTCCGGCCAGGCCACGCTGTCAGCCTGCGTCGAGGAACAGGGCATCGACTAATGGGACAGATAATGGTGAGGCTGATACGTGCAGGCAGCATGTTTGTAGGGCTAGAACAAAAGAAGGAAGGTAGCAAAGAAAGGGGGAAGGAAAAGAAAGAAGGAAGGGCATACAGTACCTCCTCGACTCTCACTGTCTGCTGGCTTCACCTGGATTGGTCTGTTCATCTGTGACAGAGAGAGAAAGAGAGGACAAATAATAGGAAAAGAAGGAAGAAAAAAAAGAAGAAAACAAGAGACAAAGAAGCCAGTAAGCATCATGTACTCATGTAATAACACATGCTTTTACCCCTCCCACACCCCCCTAAAAAACTTTTTTAGAATCACTCAGCCAAATTGCGGGTAAAGTGTATTGAAAATCTCCAAAGCTGTAGCACTTATAGCCATTGGGGGAATAGCTGGTTGGGAATATGGGTTGGAAATATTATTTGATCTGAGATGAAAGGAGAGAGAAGGGTTGGAAAGGGGGATAAGCAGAGGGATGAAGGGAACGACGGAAAGGGGGATAGAGGGAGGATGGTGGAGAGGTAACTCTGGGTCAGCAGAGCTACTGTGACTGTGTATCCTCTCTGTGGGTGCTTCTGGACGCTTGTGTGCTATCATGATTCGGTCTGTGGACTTTGTGTAGTCAGATGTACTGGTGGATGTGTACCCACACAGACACACACACACACACACACACACACACACACACACACACAGTATAGACATAGCACATATGAGTTTTCAAACTCCTAAGCCTCACTACAAAATGTTCTTGCACAATTTTCTCTTAGCTTCACACACAAGCTTGTACATACAAGTGCACACACATGCACACACACACACTCTCTCTGTCCCCCAGTGAGACCTTTCCACAGTGTGTCCACAGAGGCCCTCCTTTCATTTCACTTCTGCCTGTCAAACCTTCCCTCTCCGCCTCGCCACCCTGCTAAACGCTCGCCGCCAATCAATTTTTAATAATGCCAATCGCCACGCTGCCAGGAGGAATGGAAGGAAGGAGGGGGGAGGGGAGGAGAGGAGAGAAGAGGAGAGCAGAGGAGAGGAAAGGAGAGGAAAGGAGAGGATAAAACTGAGGATGAAAGGGGAAGAGGGAAAGGTCAAGGTTCTGTGCAGCATCAGTGTTTTGCTAAATGTCATTAAATCTTTTCTTTTGAGTTTGCTGATACAGTCATCTTAATGAATCTTGGGGCTTTCAGATGATTCACCAAAGGCAAAACCTTTGAGCATGAGGACCCAATGTCACAATGCAAACACAATTAATGCTTGGACCTTCAGCCTTTTCTGGCACTTTCCTGCTGCTAATATTAAATCACATCATTCTCTACAACACTTATTTAAAATGGAGTTACCCATTCCTTCCTCTCCCTCGTCTCCTCCCTCTCTTTGACAGCCAAGAGAACCCTACTAATGTTTTTAATGTGCTGTGATGCATTATTTATCAGACTGGCTGTTGATATGGAAAAAGAACGAGAGGGGATAAAAGAATTGGGAATGGAAAAAGGGGAGTTAAAAATTAGTTAAAAAACAGTGCTGGATAAGAAAGAGAGATTTCAGGAGGATTGAAACCAAACAGGGCGAGAGAGAAGAGAAACTAATTGAAATCAGTAAAAAGCAGGGTGTTGGAGAAGAGAGATATATAGTGATAAAAAAGGAAGTGGGGAGAAAGAGGTAGGGGGAAGGAATGAGGAAAAGAGGACCTAGGGGGAGATGAGGACATAGATCAGAGTGTGGGACAAGGTCAGCCCAGTGCTCCCAAGGGACCTATAAGCCTGCATACATATGAACGTTTTTACCGTGACCCATACAAATGGTCTGGCCTCAATCTGACCTAATTGTGTTCCACCTCCAGTGGTTTTATATGTAAGCGCCGGTCTTAACCTGCATGGTATATGATGGCACTGACCCTCTGAGATTATTTTTAATTGTCTTGTTCTTAATTTCACTCTACACTAAGATTTTAGGGACCTGGAACCTGGACCTAGAACCATCCCGGAGTTGTTAATACTTTCTTTGGATTCTCCCCTTGACTGCAACACACTCCCCCATAAAATAACATAACAGTATTGACGTTGTCCTCTGTTGGAAAAACACACCTTTATAATCCATGGCCGCATCATCTTTTTGATGTAATAATATTTTATAACTATTACTTACTTACTAGCCCTTGCTAGCCCTTGCTTAGAGATAAATATGTGATAAGAAAAACATAAAAGACCCCTCCCCCGTTCTCCCCCCAAAATAAAAACTAAGCTGTCTTTCCACTTTTCTGACACCCACCCCTAATAATTTTCATACTGTCACTTATCGTAACATTTATTTTAGTTATGTAGTAAAACTTGTTTCAATATTAATTTTTTATCATCTACAATCCCACAAACTAACTTCACAGATTAATCAATGACTCTTCATTTGTCATAGTTGAGCAGCAACACGCAGAATGTCCGCTCATAAATTTTTAAATACAATTCAAAAATAATGTTAAGTGGTTAAACCATTATTTTCTTTTGTTACTGAAAGCTGAGTGGTGTTTCATGGGCTCTCTATCAGTGGTTTCCATTATCCCGGGCCCATAAACTGCTTCAAGGTCAGTTTTATCATCCTGCTCATAATAGGGTGAGTTAGCACCAGCCCACTGGACAACCGATCCCAAAACAGTTGTTAAAACCAGACGCTGACTAGCACGGATAGCTCCCCTCGGATGTCTGTGGTGGTGTAAGCCAAAGCCAGATGGCATCATTGAGCAGCAGAAGCAATGCAGTGCACACACAATACAACAAGCTCTCTTTAGCCTAATGCCAGTATGAGTAGAAAATCTACATTTACACAAAAAGGCGCTGAGATGCAGACATACATACATATATGAACACATGTACACACACAAACAGGCACAAGTCTGTATAGGCTTACATGACTAGACATGCATGCCTTTACACATGAGCCTGGCTCATACACGACCATGAAAAATTACTACTAGGCCGATGCATCCAAGTGTGCATGGAAACGTAAAACAGGATACAAATAAGCACACACACTCACACACACACACAATAGATATGTAAATGTGTCCTTGTGAGTCAACATGTGCTGTAAATTGGCTCATCTCTCAGCACGCACACCTAATACCTCGCATGTTGCATGCGTTTGCTCCTCATACTGTAAATGTGGCTGCCTACTTATCCACGCACATGCCTTTAAAAACACAAGGGAGTGCACAGACACACTCACACACCTACACACACACACACACAGGCAGACAGACACACACATATCTACACACACACACAGGCTAAGCTCTATTGTTGCTGAAAGTCCACCTCAGCAGCCTTGTGTTAGAGTGGCCTTGGTGTACCACATGATCGACAGCTCAAAAAGAACTGCTGCTACACAAATGCACACACACACACACACACACACACACGTTCTTGCTACACTCCTCTGTTGATTATGTAACTCAATGACAGCGCTCTGCCTCAGTGCTGCCATAGATTCCCTGCTAACTAGAAGCTGAGGGAATACATGGTCTGCATGCAGTCTGTGCTGTACCAAACTGGTGAGTCATTCTTCTGAATCAGTCTAGTACGGCCTGAAACTCTAGCGAAGCCCACAAGATTAGCTCAAAACAGTGTGGGACTATACTTTGCTATATTGGATTCTACCTTGAAATGGGGCAAAATTGAAGTCCTTGATCTGAGTTTTGCTGCTTACTGTATTGATTTCACTGCGTGCCAACCACAGAAATGAAGTTACAAAAACACTGTTAGGATGACAACTCTATGGGATTTCTATCCTCTGAATTTCTGTATAGTACCTTGTTATGTCAAATATGCTTCAAATACAGTTTATTACAAGTTGTAGACAGTGCAAGTGCCAGCATCCAAAAGCACAAGAACTAATGCATGCACACAGCCTGCAGTCACTCACACTCCCATCATTGTCTGTGAAAAAGAATATTGAAAGTATGCTTTACGAAACTCGGGAGAGGAGGTAGGATTTTCTCATTTTCACCCTCGTCTAGCAGATGTGTTTTTGCGAGAGAGTGGAGCAGTGCAGGCCAGGTCATTTCATTATCACAGTGAGAAAGCACTCCATGAAACTCTCCCAGGGAAGTAAGGAAGGCTGCCTTCATAATATTCCTCTTCTACTATTGTCAAAACTTGCTCTATTTTACATTCCGCAGCTGGAGGCCCATTTTTCTTTTACGTTTGAAATCACTTTCATTTTGTCTCCATCCCATTTGAATGTCGATATGTTTGGGTTTCTTTGTGCTTTCTGTTCATACATATATTTACTGATTCTGAAGTGTATTGTATATGTAAGAAAGTATCTGAAAGGGAGCAGTTCCAGATGTTGAGATTCTCTGTAGGAGCAATACCACAGGCTATATGTGTAACCAAATGCTGGTACTGTCAAATGAACCACTGCCACCCAACCTGGACCTTCTTTCCAAAGTATCTCAGCGTGCACAACACTCATCTTGGGATGGAAACATGCCAATGGAAACATTAGCTGAACAAATACAGTTATAATCCTGAGATGCTCTTTGGAAACTGGGCCCTTGTATGCAGGGAAAAAAACTCAGTGGCAAGATCATCTTAAAAACTAGAAACATTTAGCAGGTATGTACTAGATTTCACCAGTGGTCACAAAGAGGACAAGCTATTTTAGAAGTATTGATTTTACATTAATTCACAGAAGCATTACACTCCCATGGAATACCCCCCACATTTCCATCAAAGCTCCTACAGTAAAATCTTCATTTTATTGACTTTTGCAACCTCTTGAGCCACAGAAGTATTTTACAACATCTGTAGCTCACACCCTCCACCACCATTACCACCGCAGACTGCAGAGAGAAGTGCCGTAATTTGACTAATGGAACTGGAATAAGCTTCGGTGAGGAGGAAAGTTATTTTTCCCATGGCACAAAGATGTGTTCATCAGCAGCGAAATTCAGGTCAGTCAGTCAAATAGGATCGCCTCACCTCATACTGAGTGAGCCTCTTTGCAAGTGCACAGGCTACTCTTGGTAACAAATGTTTTCGGCAGACAGAGTTAGAGAACCGGTTGTGTGAATTTACTAAATTTACCCAGTTCTAACAACATGCTTCAGTGGTGCTGAATAGGACATGAAGTAGTAGTTAAAAATATATTTAATTTTAACTACT